TATCTTTCATTAAAGAAATCTATTTGAGGGTCAATCACGGAAGTTTTTTCCTTTTTTTTTTTTTTTCTTTTTTTTTTTTTAAGGAAAAAAACAAAAAAAAAAGAGAAACTGAAGGGAAAAAGCTTAGTCCCTTTTTAGGGTTTTGGTTTTAAAACTAATCTTGATCTAGTAATCTGAGATTATGCTGGAGAAAAAGAGACCGAACAGAAAAGTAATAAATACAAGACAGTAAACAAAAGGCATTAAAGAATAAAAACTATTCCACTTTCAGAAAGTAAAACAGAAAGCACAAGATCTGCTCTGGTTTCTCATTAATTGTATTGTAACAGTAACACGAAACTGACTAAATCTAAACGTGATGAGATGAGATGCTTCGTTCTAGTTTCTATGAAATAAAGAGAGAGAAAAAAGGTTTTACCTTTAAATCAAGACATTGTTCCCAATGGTAAGGAAGGGAGAGATGTGAGTTAAGCTCTAAAGTTGTATCAGTATTTTGAAGATTGTTTTCATCTGAACTTGATGACCTTCCTATTCCTTCTTCACTTGTGCCTTCATTAACGCTGCTGCTTCTTTGATGGTTATTCAGCGAACAATTCTGAAGAGACCTCTCTAAAGATTCAGTGATCGTCGCCATGTTTGGTGCTCTCATTTCTTCACACTTTATCCCCCAAAATCCCAGAAACAAAACAAAAGAAGAGAAATTAAAGCAGGAAACTAATACAGAGAGAGAGAGAGAGAGGGGTAAGTGAAGGACGAGATTTTGTAGGGAATAAAGTTGAGAAAATAAAGGAGAAGTGGCTTTGAGTCTTTTGAAGAGAGGATTAGTTGGTAGAAAAATACATGTTCACGCTCTTTAACTGCGCGTGGATCTGTAAAATAGTACCCTGAGTGGGCCCAAAATTGTCAGCACCAGGAATACCTTTGCATTTTGTCCCACGTACGTGTATTGGTTAAGAATACACGCGCTATATAGCCGCGTGGTTGGAAGAGTGTTTCCCAATCCTGTTGAATAGTTTAAGCTAAAAATAAGTCTTGGAGAGTAAAAAAGAGAGAAGAAAAAAAAAAGTGTGAAAAGAAGGGAACAGGTAATCTATGCATTTACCAAAAAGAATGCCGGAACTTTCTTTAACAGTTTCTGTTTGCGAAATTCTTGCTTGGCGTGATTGAATCTTGTTTTGAAGTTGTTGAACTTCTCACCGTCAAAAACGACGGGGGATAACAGAATTTATGTGAGGCTCCATTTAGTTCTCAAACGCGTATTATTTATTTTTTTTTTTTAATGATCGAGATTATTCTAGTCTATCTTAGAACTGTCAGTAAGATAAAAGTTTCGACGACCATTCCTATTAACAATCGAAAAATGATTTAAATTCAAGATCTCTTAAATAATACATTCAAAAATCAGTCATTTAAAAATTGATTAACGTACAACTTAAGAAGTTGGTGTATGGAAGGAACATACAAATTTAATATTTATGTTAGGGTTCATATGGTTTGCCAACATTCAACAAAGTCAAACCTAATTAAAAAAAAAAACTGTTTAAAAGTCAAAATCACATAAACGACTACCCATTAATTAAGCGAAAGCTTCATATGTAGCTACAAATAATGAAACATTGACATCTGGAAGACAAGTATTCTGATATATATACTGTATATAATCTAATAAGGGGGTTTTTATTTATTGATTAAATAGAGTTTTTGACAGGAAATGAGAGTGTAGGTAGAACAAATGAAGGTATTGACTGGTAGCAAATTGAGTGTTTGAAGTTGAAAAACTAGACAAGAAGAAACAGACGAGTATGTAAATAAGAGTCGACAGGCCGAATGTATTGGGTGAGACGCCTGCTATTGAAAAATAAATAATACATGTATCTGTGAACAAATGGTTCTTTTTAATTTACAGGTAAAAGTAACAGTCCTGGGTGATGATATTACAGCCATTGGATTCGACATCCAAGGGTGAGGAACAATCCGGGGAGATGTAAGTTCACGAGATGGTAGGGGGGGCATTAGTTGGAGCAGATAGGCCCAAAATGAACAGAATTTTCCCAGATGTGGAATCTTATTCTCAGTTCTGACATCTTTCTCTTTCTCTTTCTATCTCTTTCTCTGCACTAATATTCCTTCTGATCTGGCTTTCCCAGCGAGGCTCCGTCCTCGGGCTGTTTCACTGTTTTTGTTTTTGTTTTTTGTATTTGAATAATTATTTATGAAAAGAATTTGCTTCTTATTTTTAATATTCAACTGACTCTGTTTGTGTAGTGTGTACACCGTGCTTTGGCGAGTTTTCTAACTCATTCCACATTATGAGACTGGGTTTTTGTTTTAGCGCACGAAGGGAACATACCTTAGTGGCTTTGGGTTCGGCATCCTTCTGTAATTGTTAATTACTAAACCCACTGCTTTTCCAATTAATTAATTAATATTATTAATGTTTGCTTCAAGGAATTACATAGAAATCTTCCATCCTGCACCAACTTATATGATTTAATTATCTTTAAGTTAACTTAAATTGAGGATTAATTTTAAAATAATTTGTACAACTGGAGGCTAAAGTTTTTATTTAAATTAGAATGGTGGGTGATATAAGAAACGTTTTCATGTGCAAGCTTTGGTGATGGAGAATGTTTTTTAAGTTAATTACTAGCAGTTGAGTAACTCTAAAGGGTTGTTGAAATTTAAAAAAAAAAAAAATTAAAAAGGGGAAGGATATTTATAAAGGAATAGAAAGGGATTGAACGGTTGATGTGACATTTCACATCAAATCTAGTAGAATTTAGAATACATTATTTTCCTTTGGTAAACGTAATAATATGAACAACATTGTATTATCGAAATATCTAGACTTTATTTCAAATATATGTACTACCAAAGTAAACAATCGGGCTGGTCTTCATCGTCGCATGACCTAAAACACAACGAAAAGGTCTGTACTGTGGCAGTGCCTGCCAGATATCCATAGGCCCAAAGCCCAGTTTAAATGTGTGCAATTTTCAAATGGTCTCTTCATTGAGAATATCTGGAACCTTCACAATTCCAGCAGCCACATTGCTAGTGATGGCAATGGGCCAGGCCGGGAATGGGTATCCTTGGGCCTAGGCCCAGGCCTGACCTCCTGACAAATACCCAAACCCATCACGGGTATGACAGGTAAAGCCCAAGCTTGGCCCGACGGGTTTTTTGTAACCTTAAACCTGATATTTTTATAATGTGAATTTTTAAATATTAATAAATTTTAATTTTTTTATATTTTTAATTCTATAAACAATTTTTAAATATTAATTTATTTTTTAATACTCACTAAATATATAAATCACTTTCCATAAAGTGCATCCATCCATCAATGAAGGATTTAGAAAAAAATGAGTATATATATATAGAATAATCTTGTAATTAAATATATAGTATAAGGATAATTTAATATAATTAATACTAAAGTTGTTAGACCGGGCTAGGTCGAGCCTGAAGACATCCTATACCCGAATCGACCTTAAAATCCGGCCCAAACTCATGCCTGTAAACATCGGATAAAATCCTACCCTTTTGAGATGAAACGGGCCGGTACCTGAAAATATGGGCCATTACCATCACTAATATGTTGACTTTTTTTCTTTTATATTTAATTAATTTCAGGTTGTATGAATAGTCTTTTCACAAGATACATAAATAATTTAAAAAAAAAAAATTCCAACATGGGCAAGCGCCCAAGCCCGTAAAAGGGTCATTGTTCTCTAGAACATTAAGTATTGGTAAATCAGTCTAATTTCCATTAAATAAAACCGCGTGCTTTTAACAAACTTACCTATCCAAGGCATCATCCCTCGCTCGCGGAATTGTGTGAGACGACCAAGGGTTTGAGAAATGAAGAAGATCGACGAACCAGTCGTCGGGATCCCGTACTACGTCGGCCAAAATCCATATCAGGCCGGCCTGATCCCGCCAAACGCGGTCTTCGGCGACCCCAAGGGAATTCCGATTCAGCAAACGATTTACCGGGACACTCCCGCTCCTTTTAACTGCAATTTCTGTGGCAATTCTGGAGTTACCAGCGTCAGGTACTTTAATTCATTCTTTGTTCTCTCTCTCTCTCTCTCTCTCTCTCTCTCTCTCTCTCTATATATATATATATATAATTTGCTTATAATTGAAATGAAAATATATGAATATAACAACAGAGTTGTTTAATTATATTATATTTCTTGGAAAATTTCTAGACTTTTTCTTTCTGTGTGTGTTGTGATTGCGTTCTTTATTGCCCCATCCTCAATATAATCTTTAAATGGCGAAAAACAGACCTGTTTACCCGTATTTGAATTTCGTTGAATACCAAAATTTTTATAGTTTTCCTTCAATTGGTTCCATGAATTATGAGTCTTGTGGTGCATTATAAAATTTGATATCCCTCTTGGATCAGAATCTGTTAGTTACATTGAGGATTCTTGTGTTAGTTGTTGATTTATATGCAGTTTTTGACTTGTTAAATGCAAAACAAGAAATGTTCTAGAAAATGTAGCTCGAGCTGAAGATAACTAAAAACGGAATTATTCTCTATTGAACGAATGAATGTACAAAAACAGAACAATCTGTTCTTTTATAGACAAATACAAAAACTCCCGTTTAGTCACTACTTTTAGACTTTACAAAATACACCCTGCCTAACATAACTTGTAATCTTTACATAAACAACGTTGCATACTAAACCTTATACTCGATAGTTTTGTTCACGTCCCAATTTTTGTTGCGCATATATTTACATTACTCCGAAGCTGGTGTAGTGATGCATTAATTAATAGATTGTGTGGAGGAAAGCTGAATGTTTTTTATGTTGAGACTTGAGAGAGGCAACGTGCTATTCTATTTAGTATTTTGCGATTTCTTCTACTTTGAATTAGTAAGTTAGAAGAAGTGCCATTTATTAGTCAAAATGTTTCAATATTTCTATGCTTCTTGCGTTTGTGTGGCATTTATTTTTAGGGTCTGCNATTCCAACATGGGCAAGCGCCCAAGCCCGTAAAAGGGTCATTGTTCTCTAGAACATTAAGTATTGGTAAATCAGTCTAATTTCCATTAAATAAAACCGCGTGCTTTTAACAAACTTACCTATCCAAGGCATCATCCCTCGCTCGCGGAATTGTGTGAGACGACCAAGGGTTTGAGAAATGAAGAAGATCGACGAACCAGTCGTCGGGATCCCGTACTACGTCGGCCAAAATCCATATCAGGCCGGCCTGATCCCGCCAAACGCGGTCTTCGGCGACCCCAAGGGAATTCCGATTCAGCAAACGATTTACCGGGACACTCCCGCTCCTTTTAACTGCAATTTCTGTGGCAATTCTGGAGTTACCAGCGTCAGGTACTTTAATTCATTCTTTGTTCTCTCTCTCTCTCTCTCTCTCTCTCTCTCTCTCTCTCTATATATATATATATATAATTTGCTTATAATTGAAATGAAAATATATGAATATAACAACAGAGTTGTTTAATTATATTATATTTCTTGGAAAATTTCTAGACTTTTTCTTTCTGTGTGTGTTGTGATTGCGTTCTTTATTGCCCCATCCTCAATATAATCTTTAAATGGCGAAAAACAGACCTGTTTACCCGTATTTGAATTTCGTTGAATACCAAAATTTTTATAGTTTTCCTTCAATTGGTTCCATGAATTATGAGTCTTGTGGTGCATTATAAAATTTGATATCCCTCTTGGATCAGAATCTGTTAGTTACATTGAGGATTCTTGTGTTAGTTGTTGATTTATATGCAGTTTTTGACTTGTTAAATGCAAAACAAGAAATGTTCTAGAAAATGTAGCTCGAGCTGAAGATAACTAAAAACGGAATTATTCTCTATTGAACGAATGAATGTACAAAAACAGAACAATCTGTTCTTTTATAGACAAATACAAAAACTCCCGTTTAGTCACTACTTTTAGACTTTACAAAATACACCCTGCCTAACATAACTTGTAATCTTTACATAAACAACGTTGCATACCAAACCTTATACTCAATAGTTTTGTTCACGCCCCAATTTTTGTTGCGCATATATTTACATTACTCCGAAGCTGGTGTAGTGATGCATTAATTAATAGATTGTGTGGAGGAAAGCTGAATGTTTTTTATGTTGAGACTTGAGAGAGGCAACGTGCTATTCTATTTAGTATTTTGCGAGTTCTTCTACTTTGAATTAGTAAGTTAGAAGAAGTGCCATTTATTAGTCAAAATGTTTCAATATTTCTATGCTTCTTGCGTTTGTGTGGCATTTATTTTTAGGGTCCGCTTAGAAGTTTCATGCTAGCGGTTATGAGGGTAAACTACCGTAACGATTTTGAGGGGTTTTTAGTAGCGGTTTTTAAAACACCTAATCTGTGTTTAAGAGTTTATTTTCCAACGGTTCTGGCAGTTTTTTAAAATGATAAATTTACATATATATCATAAAAATACCCCAACTTCAACCAGTACTTAGGAGTTTTGTTTTTTCAATTACAAGGTAAATGTTCTTTATTTGTTTTCTACTTATTAGTATTTTATAACTTCAAATGTGATAAAGTCTCTTTATCTTTCTTCGTCATTCTTTTGCAGCATCTGAAATGATTGAAAAATTGTAGCTCCACTTCTCCAAGAAAGTATTTAGAAATGAGATTTTAATAATTTTTTTTTTTTTTATGATTGCTTAAAATTATTTTATATTTAATATGGTTAGAGATGCGCATAATATGGTTAAAAATTTTTTTTAGATATAATTGGTTAATTTTGTAGCGGATAGGTTATTTGTTGAATAAAATTTTAAAACTAACCAAAACATCCCCATTTTGGGTGTTTTATAAATCCCTCAAAAATACACTATACTAGTTTGGGGGGATTCTTGAGCCCGTCAAAACCAGTGTATACAAAATCTGGTAAGTCATGGCTTTAGAACACCTCTAAACCAATCCAATTAAAAACTCCTCAAAATCAGTGGAAAAAAACTCTCAAGCAGACCCTTAAGCCAGTGGGCATTGATTCTGCTGTCGTTTCTCTCCCTTGACTGCTGAATTTATGTATAACTCAGATCAAAGCCTAGTCTCGCGGCTGTTGTTGGATGCATGATGCCGATGATGCTTGGATTTTGCTTTCTCATGCCTTCAATGGATTGTCTCTGGCATAAATATCACCATTGTCCGGTTTGCAAGGAAAAGGCAAGTAAACCTCTTTTTTTTTTTTTTTTCTGTTGCTTTTATCCATAATTTTCCTTCAATTAAAACATTTGTTTGTATATACTGGCCTTTGTTCAGGTTGCTGATTTTGAGAAACCAGATCCTTGTGCGGTGATGGATCCTCCACACTGGAAACAGCAGAGCTTTGCATTGCCTGCTTGAGATATCGTGAGAGGTCTAGTATTCGCATTGTCTGCTTTTCACTGGCCGGCATGTAATCTTATTGTCTTATCAGGAGCTCTTTCGGCTATGTGTTGTCTTTACACAATGCTGTAAACAAGGCTGTTAATGCATATATTTTTAATATGGTGTGTAAACAACGTTTTCTCTCAAAATATTAAATAGTGCATGAATTACTTGTGAAATGCTTTCCCCATGTCACTATATGGCCATGTAAATTAGATATTAGACCTGTACCGTTCGTGTTTATCAATAAATAACAGTTGGGGCTTGCTACAAGATATCTCTGGTTTAACATGGACATCCAGTTCAGCCCGGCTTAGCGCCCTTAGCCTGAGCCTCGGTAGCATCAGTTATATTCCTTTCAGCTTTCTAGCAGGCCACATGAGACGAGCAAGGTTTGATTTTAGCCGTGGGGAAGGATTTTCAATGGACATAGTCTTTGTGCTTTCATGGGTAGCTCAATCATTCAATGTGCAGAAACTAAGAATGATTAACCAACACAAAACTCACAATATTTCAGTGTGTTAGAATCATAATCTACCTGATAAAGAAAAATTTATTGTCACTACATGAATTCGCCTCCTGGGATGATTTTCTCAAGCGGTTAATGGCCCATTGATAGATACATATGATTCTTACCGGATTCCACAGCAGTAGAGCACTCTTGAACTTGAAACTTGATCGTTTGCCCACCATGTCTGTTTTTTGCCTTTGCGTACAGTTAAGTAGTTATCTAAAGATCATGCATGTAAACTAAAATCTATTTTACATATAGAAGCTCTTTGATGGTATGTCTTCAATAAAATCAGCAAGAAAAACATGAACGCCGAAACAAATTTTTAAGATTTTGTATTTTAGTAGACAACCTGTTTCTATGCCGGATCATGGATAGGAACAGAACTCGTGTGTAGGCTTGGCTCTTTTGTTCAATGGTGTAATTTTCTTGCATTGTATATATCAATCCTATAGAATTTTTTATTTTAGTAGTTAATTTATATATCGATAACTATATCATGTGATTATGGATCCAATATGGTATACTGTTTCTATTGTTTTCTCAAATATAAGGCAGAACATCAAACATTTAATTAAACATATGCAATTGATAAAGAAGAAATCGGAACTGCACATAAATATCTTGTTGGTCAACCAGCTCTGAGCTGTCTTAAGATCAGTACCTGGTCTTGTAGCCAAAGTGCCCACTGCCTCTCTTCTCGCCATCGCTGTGATAATGCATTGTAAAGGTTGGTTAATTTGGATTACGTCAGTTTTTGTTATCAAACAAACAGATGGATAAATATAGAAATACATTAAATGTACCTGTAAACGTGCTTCTTAGAAGCTTACCACTAAATCTGAGACGAGAATGAAGAAGAATGAGAAACTTGAAAGAAGAGTAGGTTCAGCATGAGAGATGAGAGCCTGTCTCGTTAGCCAAGGAGACTGCCTGTCAACCATTTTAGGATCCATCCAAACCCTTGTTTGCATTTTACACAATTTTATAATAATAAAAGATAATGGTTTTCCTACAATAAAATATGTTCTATTCGATCTAGCAGAGGCAACTTTTTAACCTAGCTATTCCATCTCTAATTTCTTTCAAACATTACTGTTTATAACTGTTAGGTCTCAAAATATTATATGAGACCCTGGCGAGACTGCAGGCAAGTCATCCTTGGCTACAAAACAACACTCTTTATCTTCATGTAGGACCTCTCTTCCAACCTCAACAATTCGAAAGAGAAAAAATAATGTCAATTGATGATTTGATGCAAAAATGCAATGTATTCAACCCTCTATTTATAGCCAATGATTGTTCAATATTAGATTCACGTGTGCATGAATTATGATTGACCTCCATCGATTTGCGTGATCTAATGAAATAGATTCTTGTCGTGGAATATATTCGGAATTTTCATGCCCATAAAGTAGGCCGCCCAAGTTCAATGATGGACCTATAAGATGATCGAATTTCATACTCCATAAGGCATAAAGTACTACCCGTAATCTATAGATTATACTTCTATTAAAAGTGGTGCTAAAGTTGCAATCTGCTATTGCTCACCATTTTGACTCTTGGCTTTTTCAAAGGCTATAAGAATTATAGTTTATGCCAGATCTTGTGTTTGATTTTATGTGAACTTTCGGTTCCTCTTGTACGAGAGAATATATTAAACGGGGATTTTATCATCGATGGAGTCACCCCTACAGTGGCTCTTCAAATGTCATAAATGAAAAGAAAAGAAAATGCGCCTTGACTCATGGGCACATAGATTAATAATGTGATACTAAAAAGACGCATAAAGAATACATATAATAAGTTTGAATGAGTCAAGTTGGGATTTAGCTGGGCGTGTTGATCAACACCATAATGGTGAAGTGGGATTGAGTTGCTTCTTTTTCTTCTCCACTTTGGTTTGATTATTCCATTTCAACGTCAAAACAAAGGCCAAAGAGGCAAAGACACTCGTCTCCATATATATACATTTATCCATTTAAAAATTGAAAGTCAACTTCTTCATCAACCACCACCTCTCGATAAATTGTGGGCTCTGGGTGGTGAACATCGACATTATACCAAGCTTCTCCAAGAATAAAGAAATAAAGAACAAAACTGACAAGTCCCTGTTCGTGTTCTTTTTCTCAGCAGGCTCCATGGAATAACAAGAATAGACAACCGCATCATCAAGTTTAGGTGTCGACTAATCTTTCATTATAATTAATTTTTTCAGGTCCACTTGATGCTCAATCATTCACACAGTTTGATTTTAAGATAACAATCATATATATCTTTATTTTTATCACCAGGATGGTTAGATTGGCTTCCGCACACTTCAACTAGTCTCTTGTGACCTTGAAAGTTTGACCGAGTAATCCTTCAGTGGCACCCCTATTAAGGCCTAAGGGGGTTCTAACTCAAGAACTTGAAAAACCTCGTTTTGTTTTTTTGCCATCAAATCACCTCAGTGGTGGTTATAACAATAATATTCATATTCATGCACTCGTAAAATATTCCTAATCAATTGATTTGTCAACCGATCGATATATCGCCAAAGAAAGTTAATTAAATCACCTTTTGACTTAATTTGACCAACATGATAAGGTGGATTTCTTCAAATATCATTTTAATTGCGGCTTGCGCCTAATATTCTTCATTTTAGATCTCCTTCAAATTTCATTCCATTATTCATATAAATCTTCTTGTGCTTTATATCTAGGCAGTCAAACTAAAGACGAGACACTACACTAGTAGAAATTATATAATACTCTTGATAATTTGATAATAAAACTCAAATTTGTTGGACGATACGTTTATAGGATAATAATAATAGAAGCAGAAGTTAGTCCATGAACGTCTGTAATAATCAAGAAGGTTGTATTATATATATATATATGTGTGTGTGTGTGTGAAAAAGGTTTAGGTATCATTACTTGCTACAAAACACACGTGGCTACAGCCCTTTATCAGAAGACCCTCCTGGGGAAAGGGTTGAGAAAGGTCACATGTCCTTATTTAGGTTTCGGTTGATCACCAAGAAGTAAGAGTCTCTCACTCAAGGGCCCTTTCGGCTTTGAGTATTACTTGACATATCTGACATCGGATATCTCTCATATAGCATAGACCCATTTATGAATTAGATCCATTTATGACACAGACCTGAAGAAGGCCCAATTTCTTTAGACCCAAGTCACCCCAAGCTTGGACATGGGTCTAATGGATGGGTCACAGTCTTCAAAGAACTTGGCATTTGGCAATCTTCTATTAAGGATTATTATTTCTGTAACCTGCTAATGTTACTGATATATGTTTATGACACATCTATTACATCAGCTTAACGACAACGAAAACCTTGTATAATTTTGTCATTGAACATGAGGTGCTAGTCATATTTCCTTATCGAATCCAAATAAAGAGAAACCAAAGTTGATCTGTTTGTAAAATTAGGTGGCCTTTCATTTTTATTCATCATCATCTTCCACTTTGGGTTGAAATTAATGATAAGGTTGAGCTTTACGCCATCCAAAACATACGAGGGATATTGTCTTCGAATGTACAATCAAATCAAAAAATTCATCTTTCCAACCATGATTTTGTTGCTAAACCTTGTGTTCATATTGGTATAAATCAATTTGACTTATTATTATATTCCCATTCGAGGTTTAGCAAAATTCCAAATTAATACTTTTAGTTGTATTTATTGTTGATATTCACCCTTAAATTAATACCGTTAGTAACTGTTAGAGATAATTAAAAACGGTGAATAAGGTCAATAAGTGGAAGTATGAGTTTTGTAGAAGAGGTTGTAGAGAGTCCAACAATGGTCTCGAAAGTGATTTTAGACTTTATAATAGGTTGAAAAAAGCCAAAAACTATTGGCTTGGACGCTACTAATGTGCGTCGTTTTTTGCTAGCATGAGCCCATCTTCTGCAAAGAAAGCACTGACACACTTTAGCGTGCTAACGTGCACCACACTACATTGAAAAATTGAGAATTTGTTAAAATAAAGAAAAAACGTTACTTTAAGGAGCCGTTTGGATTGGGGGTATATAAGATAACGAGAGTAATCTTCGTTTATTTTGCAAGATTCCGATGTTTGGTTTGCAAGTAATAAAATATTACAGTAATCTTTTATTGCAAATAGTGTTTACTGTTGGTAATGTAGGAGGTAATCTTATTACCTTGTTAGGGGGTGTTATTAAAACATTACTGGGGTAATCTGATTTTTCTACCCATTTTGCCCTTAATTAAAAACTATTTCAGACACAATTGCCCTCAGGCCTCAAATGTCTAGCAAATAACAATTATCTAGCCCCTTTACATTTGAGAAATTAGCTAAAACACCACAATCATAAAAAAGTTTAAAAGTTAACAAAATACTCCCAACAACCTAAGACCACCACCGGCCGTGACTCACCACCGCCGCCCGGCCATCAGCGTTAGTCGTCATTATGTGCACGATCGAGGGGATTTGGCCGATCGTGCGTCAACAAGGTCTTTTCCAGATCTATGGCTGGAAACGGCCAGATCTGACCTTTTTATGGCAGTTTCACGGCCACGTCTGTGGCTGTGAAAATGCTAGATCTTTGGCCGTGAAATGGCCATAGATCTGGCCGTTTTTTTGCCATGGATTTGTGATCCATGGCCATTACCGGCTTTGCCGGTGCATGACCGGCCATATATGGCCAATTGTGCGTCATTTCGTCAACTGTAGGTGGCGGTGGTTGGCTGCCGACAGTGGCTTTGGGGTGGGTGGGGGTGATTTTGTCATAAATTAAAGATTTATATGGTTGGAGTATTTTAGCAAAATTTCAAATGTAGCAAGTTAAAAAAATGATTCAAAAAATAATAATAAAAAATACTATTATATTAATATTTAAAAAGGAGGGCAATTTAGTAATCTATATAACATACCACTCATTTATCTCCCAATCAAACATATTATTCACCAATTTATTTGAACCAATCAAACACATTTTCTAAACATTTGTAGTAATCTTGAAAGTATTTTTTTTTTGTTAATATAATATACCCTTATAATAAAATATTATATGATCCAACGTCTTATAAGGGTTGGAATGAGAATAAATATAACTATGGATATCCAATTGAAGTTTCGCTGGCCTAAGGGAATGTGTCGGCTGCTCTTCAGAGATATTTTGTTTTAAAAACATAAATAATTTTCTTGGAGGGAAAGAGATGACGTCATGCATGACGAGGTGGTAAAATATCGACCTAGGGAACCGCAATGAAATAAACCAAAACCAAAACAAATTGCCTTTTAGCTTTGCTCATCTCTCAATGCCTCCCACGTGATTTTAACTTTTCGTCACCTCTTGACTCGCTGTCCTCGTTTTCCCTCTTTGACCTTTCTAATTTCTGTCCTCATTTTAATTAAAGTCTTTTATCTAATCTCAATACTTTAGTGTCAATTCTTCAAATAGAAACCTATTAAGTTTTCTTTTATCTTAATCATTTGTTATTATTTTCTAAACTTGGATTTGTCTTATACTGTCATGGTTTCAAATTTATTGAAACTTTAAGCTGAAATCGAAAGGATATTTTAATTGTGTTTTAACTTTTTGTATTTCAAAATGTGATGAAAATGAAATGGGGAAGTGGGTTTCTTATCTTTCACCGATTCAATCCTATACAAATTTTATAATTATAAAGAGTAAACGACATGTTCCCACTCAAGGTTAAGCGCAATGTCAAGTTCCCAACCTTGGCTTTATAAATTTCAGATTCATACCCTAAATCAACAAAAAATTATTTTATATAATGGTTAAAAGGTAAAATGATAATCTTAAAACCAAGGTTCTAAAAACCGGATCAGACCGTCCGATCAGACCGGTTTGATCAGTGACCGACGGCATTTCCAGTCCGGAATACTTCAAAAACCGTTAATTACATTTAAACCGGATTGGACCGCGGTTGGACTGCTGGAATAGTGTCGAATCGCGGTCCAATCGCAGTTGAATCCCACCGGATTCCGACACCGATCGAGAGAGAAATCACCGCCATTAGACTTGACGGCATCTCCATTACAAAACCCTGCCATTTTTAGTGGCCATCGTCGCTCGCCGTCCACCTGAACTTCACGCGACCGTCAGACTTCTTTTGTTGATTCCGGCGCCGATGGAACTCCTTGGCAGCACCATCAGAGTCGCTGGCACCTACACATCAAAAGCTCCAAGATTCCAGCTTCGATTGGCCGTCGATCGTCGCTGCCGCCACCACTCACTAGAATCTTCGCGCGACAGGGGTGTTTTAGATAGATTTCAAACCTTAAGGGATTATTATAGGGGTGTTTTTGATGAATTTCAAACCTTTAGTGACTAAAAGTAATTTTACAAATTACGGTCCAACCGACCAATCCAACCGGTCAAACCGAAAACCGAACCCTTGAACGGGTCATTGTCCGGTCTGGTTTTCAGAACATTGCTTAAAACCCATATCTCATTCGACTGGAATTATATCCTGCAACCCAAACCCACCCGCGTAACTGTCGTCTTAGGCCAATCCGACCTAATTTCAATGTTGTCGGACACCCTCGACACCACCAAACGCTTTCCACTAACCCACATCCCAAAACCCCTTTCAACCCCACCCAATAACACCCTTCAATCGCCAGCCACCACTCATTAAGGATACACGCGCTTCAAGCCGATTTTCGATTGATTTCAACACCAAAAATCAACCCCAACATGACCATTCAACTCAAAAACTTCCACTCACCAAAACCCCTATCATCCACACTCTCGCTTGTTGGGTTGCGCATGCAAGGGAGCTGGCATGTAGGGTGCGTGTGTAGAGGAAAAGGCGAGCAGGTTGGTGGGGGCATTTCATTGAACACTTGGTGAGCATCGAGGGGTGGGGGCTATGGAAATGAGATGGGAATGGCGGAACACTAGGAAAAACCCAATCAAACCAACATTTCACTAACAACACACAAGCAAACTCAAAAACTCTCGCAAATCACCAAAAATCAACCGTCAATCAAACTCCACAAACAACAAACCAACTTTTTCAACCAAATGGCGCCGATGGTCATTGGGGTTGGAAAAGGCGAAGGGTGACAGGTGGTGAGGGTCAGGTGTGTGATGTGGCAGTGAGGTGGGCACGCCTTTGTTGCGAGGTGCACGACGCAATTGGAAAACGCAGTCGCACGAGTGCGACACAATAAGGGTGGGCGACGACGTTTTCAAGCTAGGGGGTGGTTGGAGATAAGGAGGGGATATGAAGAAGAAAAAGATAGGACGATAATTTGGTAATAACACCTTCTACATCTGTGTCAGAACTTAAGATTCATTAAAAATATTATTTTAAGGGTGAGAATCTGAAATTTACAATAATGAAAATTTGACCGTTTCGCTTAACTTCAGTGTCACCGTGTCGTTTGCCCAATTTTATATTATAAAAGTGAAAAGAAATAGGTATAGTAAGGTGCCGACTAGTGATGAGCAAGTCACGAGAATGTTATATAAATATAAGATTGTCGGAATTGGGTTACTAATTGAGGTATGGGATATAATTTTTTGATCTTACCAACAGATTTACTTTTACTAAACACGGCAAAAAAAGGATATCTTGTCTTCCCATATTATGAGTACCCTTTTAGTTTCTTACATTTTATTAACCCTAATTGGTAGCCAGCTCAGCAAAAAGTTGAGAAAAGATATTTTGATGAATAGGGACACTAACTAACCCACCCTCCTTTTTCATATGCTTCCTTCCCCTTCCCCTTCCCCTTCCCCACTCCCTTGTACCAAAAATTCAGTTATTTTCAGGAAGCAAATACAACTATACAAAACACAAACTCTTCTTCTTATCTCTTACTTTTCAAACTCTAAATTCGGTTTGGGTTTTAGAAAATTTAAGATGGTGAGTCCTAAAGGCGAGACTACCAACAAAAAAGAAACTGTACCCTGCGATTTCTGTAGTGACCAGATTGCGGTTCTTTACTGTAGAGCTGACTCCGCTAAGCTCTGTTTGTTCTGCGACCAACAAGTGCACTCCGCAAACCTACTGTCAAAGAAACACCTCCGCTCACAGATCTGCGATAACTGCAGCAACGAACCGGTTTCTGTCCGGTGCGCCACTGACAAGTTGGTCCTGTGTCAAGAGTGTGACTGGGATGCGCACGGGAGCTGCTCTGTGTCCGATTCAGACGATCGTGTCCCAGTTGAAGGCTTCTCTGGCTGTCCCTCAGCCCTAGAACTCGCGTCAATGTGGGGCTTCGGTCTTGATGATAAAAAACTGAATGAATCTTCGCCGTTGATTGACTACTGGAGCGGGTGTCAAGATATGAGAAGTCCGGTTGAGTCTTCGTGGATGTACGACAAAAAATCAGGAGTAAGTGTTCAAGATTCGATGGTGCCAAATGAGAAAGGTATGTTTTATAATGGAGAGATTATGAGTATGTCGAAAAGGCAAAGTCCAAGTTGTGGAAAACTTAAACAAGTGATACATAAACAACTGGTTCAGTTGTTAAAGAGTGATTTAATGGGAAACGAAGTTGGTGATATAAACCATGATGATGTTAAAAACAGTAATTTTAGTGGGGATGGAGATGCAGAGAATTTGGTGCCAATGAAAGGAATGACGGAGGCTCAAGTTAATAGTTGTGTTCAAGAATCGTTGCAGCAACAGACGCCTTTTACGTCTCTACTTGTGATGCAGGAACAGATGGATGCCAAAGAGAGTGACCGTGTTGTTAACAGGGATATGTTGTGGGATGGAAATTCTGGTGGTCAGGGAGCTCAGGTGTTATTTTTGAACCCTTAAAAATTATTTGAATTGTTGCTTTTGTTCTCTCAATTATATGTTTTTGATTGGCTTCAAGCTTCAATAGAGATCTTAAGCAAGCATGCTGTGTATGCGGAACGTGTTTTCAATTGTTTGAAACTGAAGTTGATGTAGTTTGTTCTTCTATGCGTTTTCTTTTCGTTCCTCAATGTGTTGATTTTGCCTTAAACCTTGTTGTTATGTTAATGATGTTGATTCTGGGGTAAATTTTTGGCTTTCATTCTTTGGGTAATTACCTTCCCAAGGCCACCGCTATCAATTTTCATCAGTCAATTATTAACTTGAATGTTAATCTATTATGGATTGTAATGGTGGGGTGAGAGATTTTGTGATTTAAATTAGAATATAAACAGATGAGCCTGCTATTTCTCATGCCTCCATGATTATTTCTCCTTTGTTCTTAAGAAGGCATTTTAAAATTAAAGCAAGTTAACACCTTTCTAATTTTAATATTCGATTAGCATGGGTTCTCAAATCTTTCTTAGAAAATGCATTTGCTGAGGTCTTTTGTCCTTGTTCAACTTGCCCTGATTTTTAATTAGTTCACTTATATGTGTGAGAGAAATAGCAGTAGTTGATTAATGGGAATCCATTATAATTCACACTTGCTACTCCCATGCAGATATGGGATTTTCATTCAGGACGTTTGAGGGCCACTGAAGAATCTAGCCAGCTGGAAGTTGCATATGGTGGAAGTGATGCAGTATTTATGATAAAAAACTTTGGTGAACTTATGAAAGAAACATCTTTGGCTAGTACAGAAATGTTTGCAAATATGTTCCAGATGAATTGTCCCATGGGACATGAAGACATGGCTTCTTTTAATGTAAGTCTTGACTGTATTTCAGTTTATTTTTAATTGTTCATTGCCTGTATTTCAGTTTGATTGTAATTGTTCATTCATTAAATTTCTGATTGTATGTATTGTGACCTTAGAGTTAGGTTGAGCAGCTTAGGTCAGTTTGTTTCCCTGTTTTTACACTATCCTATTCCTATTTTTTTCCAAAATACACATTTATTTCCCTATTCTAAAAATCTTATTTGATTTGATTTAATTATTTTTAAACCCCCCGAGTTTGTTAATTTAAGTAAACACAAAAAAAAAAAAAAAGTTTAGAAATTGACAAAAACACCCCCACCCACCCACATTTGCCAGATTCCGAACACCCCCGCTGCCTGGTGTTCAGAATCTGGTATAATGGTGTACTACCAGCTGGTAGTGAGTCGATCTAGCCTTTTCTGGTCAAAGATCTGGCCGTAGCTAGTCGTTAACGACAACCAAGATATGGTTGTCGTTGACAACCAAACGCGGCCAGATCTGGCCTTTTCTGGGCAGATCCACGATGGATCTGGCTGGAAAAGGCCATATCAACGCATGATCGGCCAGATCCAGCCGGTCGTGTGCCAATACGGCGACTCCGGCCATCTTCCAGCGGTGGTGGTCGACTGTCGGTATTTAATGGGTGGGTGGGGTGTTTTTGTTAATTTTTAATGTTTTATTGCAGGGGTGTTTAGTAAATTAACAAACCTAGGGGGGTATTTTTGTTAATTCTCAAATCTCACCTCGTAATAACCACCAAACTCTTACTTTTTCAAAAATCCTATAAATCCTATCCAAAATAATGAAACAAACAGACCCTTAGTGTTGGGATATTGTGACTCGCTTTCTTATTTGTTTCTATGTAAAATTGTACGTCTTTAGAAAAACAATTTAATAAAGAATACAATTGTACATAGGAATATAATTTAGGAGTTTCATTAGGAATTGAAATATGAATCTTATTGGAATTAGAATATCGTATATCCTACCTATAAATATAGGGGTGAGAACCAATTCAAGGTCATGGGAGAATGTGAGAACACAAGGTATTTGATGTAAGAGTTATTAAACACCATGAGGAGAGTGTCTTGGAAACTGTAATTGTTTCCACTCTAGGTACTGGGTTGAGTGTGGTTAGAAACTAAGATGTTTTCGCTCTGTTTTATGTTCCGGGTTTATGGTATTGTATACTCTTGTATATTGTGTTCATGAAATTATAGTGGATTTCTCTCATCCGTGGATGTAGGTAGGTTATGCCGAACCACGTAAATACTGTGTCTCTTTGTGTGGTGTGATTTTATTTCTATGTTATTTATCTTGAAAGTATGTTTTCTGCTGCGCGATCTACTAACACTTAGATCATTTGTTTAACCAAGAGGTTAGGGATTCAAAATTTCAAATAGCCTGGATGCTCTTGTCTCGAACTAGAGAGTTTGGGGTTTTGTTGGTATCGAAAATAGAAACAAAAATTTATGTGATACTGTACATAAAATACTTGTGGAAGATACACTGCATCGTCTTAACTGCAACACTAGTACCCTAGTAATCTCCTTTATAAATTATGGAATTCGTAATAGTAATGGCATGACTGCTTCAAAATAACATATAAAATCTACCTAGCAATTCTTTCTGTTTGTTAACACTCCATGCTTTGAAACTATGAAAATAAGTAGAAAATGGCTGGTCAAAGTTCCTTTTTTGGATGGCCAGATAAAAATTTGTATAGGATAAGAAAACTTATTTATGCCCAGAATAACTGTTTCTTGCATGTTCAAGTGATGGATGATCATTTCCTACATATTCAAGTATTTTGACATAAATGAAATAGACAGAATATGATATGGTAGTTTTATTGGTAGAAAAGCTCTTAAATATGGAGCTAATTAAACCTGATAATTTGCTTTTTCACGTAATTTACATCTATCTTGCGTGTAATGTTGACAGCCTTTGGCTCTTTCTAATAGTAGGGCATCTTGTACTAATATTTTGTAATCTGATCCAGAACTCAAATAATCCAACAGCCAGTCAGGGGCCTGCAACATCTGAGAGCAACAACCTGCCGATAGCAAAGCCATCATCAGGTTCAGGTTTTGGTAAGCCCAAGGACTCTAGTAGCTCTAAAGATAACCAGTTCATGGAACAGTCTTTTCTTGTGAGACATGATGGAGTGACGACAGCAGCAGCAACCAAAGCTGATCTGGAACTGCTGGCACAAAATAGAGGCAATGCGATGCAACGTTACAAGGAGAAGAAGAAAACACGGAGGTAGGTTCTTTCCTTATCATTATTTAAGATTTTGCTTTAGACTTTATCCAGATTATTTGATATCTAGATATGAGAAGCACATACGGTACGAATCAAGGAAGGCAAGAGCTGATACCAGGAAGCGAGTGAAAGGTCGATTTGTGAAGACTATTGAAGCTCCTGATGGTTGAATCTTGTGCTGGGATAGACTGCTCGTGTCAGACACGTACTCGTGCGAGTGTAACAAAAGTGTTTTGCTTGAAATAATGTAGTAGAGTTGACAAATGCCGGGGACGAAGGGGGGACTAGTAATAGGTTGGTAGTTGTCGATGCTTTGGTAGTGTAGGATGAATACTTGTGTCAGTCGTGTTCTGCTACAAGCTAACGGTGTTAGAATTTAGAAATCTGTTAATAGCCAGTAGAGAACAGAAAATGATGCTGCTTTCGCCCTTGTACAAAAATTGAATGAGGGTTTTTTGGGTGAAGGTACTTGTAATTATCATAACTAGTCATTTTATTTCTCTTTGAAAAGCTTCTGGCAGGTAAACGCTGTGGATTTATGTAAATTACACTCTAAGCTATGTATTAGCCTGAAATTAAACTTCAATGGATTATGATGCCACTATTGATGAATAACACCTTTATATACTTACACATCCATTCGGCTAAGCAAGTATATTATTCAATTTTTTATTTTTTTAAATAATATCAACTTCCGATAAAATTTTCTTAAATGTATTTTCTAATCGTTTAACTATTAATATATTACCTTTATACTTATATTAGAAGTAAAAAAAAAAAAAAAAAGATAATTAAAAAAATCGGTCTTTATAATAGTTTTAGCTGGAAAATGGAATAGTAACACTCTTCTTAAAACTGTTGTCTTATATAATTTAATTTATACAACAGTATCGAAGTTCAATATCTTATCTTTAACTACTATACATACCATTAGTAAATAAGTTATTTTTTTCGAAGGTAAGGTTTTTTGATAGTTCAATTCATTATATTAATAACTTCAAGAGATTGGTCTAACAATTAAGAAAGTTTCTTCATTTTATTGATTTTTTGAGTTTAAACCACTTTGACGCACATAAGTTAATCTAAACACCCCAATCATAAATAAAAAAAAATCATTATATTAATAGTGAAATGGTGAAATTTGTTGTTGAGCTCTTCAATAGTATGATTATCTTAAGCGTTTGTTATCTTGTCCGCTTGCTTGCGAAAAAGTGGACAGTCTTTCTGCTTGGAAAAACACTTGGCTGACCCAGAAGATAATCCAGAATCCTGGGATCCAAATCCCGCTGATCCATGCGACTGGTTTCACGTATCAATCATGCGACCTTGATGGCAGAGTCACAAGGCTGTATGTATTTTCCACCTTTACTTAATTTATATAAGATGACACAGTTCCGGTTTTGAGGAACTCAACTTTAGGAATACAATTTGGTAATTGAACTAATCCATACAAACACTGTTTTCTAACTTGAAAATTAGGAATCAATATGCATATTGAAGGTGTTATGTCTAAAAAGTCAGGGCTGACATGGACTCTCATCAACAAGGGCCAATCAGAATTCAAGGAGGCTTTGTGCCGTCTAGACGCTGTCACGTCGCGCAATGACGGAAGAGGTATGGTTCTCGTTAGTATAGCAGGTGAATGCCAGACTTGCGAGTGGCTAGGAATCATCCACCTGCCCAAGCCCTACGCGATTTAAGGATGTCTCTCTTGCAGACAACCAATAAGAAGCGGGTTAGGAATTGTACCACACTTGTCGGACTGCAGACTCATGATTATTACCTCGAATCCTCCAACTATAAATAGAGGACCCCTCTCTCACTTACGAGATTAGCTCATCTTTAGTCTTAAACAACATACATTCTCTCTAGATTGTAATTCAACTTGTTGCACGCGACCTGACTATAACCATCTATTAATATTACTACAATGGACGTAGGATTAGCTTTTGAGCATCTGAACCATTTTAAAAATTGTTTTTTTATTTATTCTCTCGCTACATATTTTCATATCACGTGTAACTTCTAAGCCCACTTAGCACTTTGCATGTGTGAGCCATTGGTGTCAAAATCAAGTGTCAATAGTTTGACGCTAGAAGGAGGGCCTTGATTTAGTATTTACTCTTCATCAGAAACCTCTAACCAATCAGTCCTACCCATCAGCTAATGGCTTGCGGTTTCGAAATTGAGCGAACCGACCTTGACAATGAGGAAATCTCCCAGGTATAGGATGATACTTCTCCCGAAGTGTCACCATTCCAACAAAGTATCATGACGGATATTCCTTCAAGCTCACGACTCGACCCAACTGTGATGAGTTACCTGAAAAGGTTCAATAATACTCTACAAACGGTTAGCCAAAGGCTGGACTATTTGGATCAAGTCGTACCACCAGAGTCCAATGAAGCGGTGCCACCGCCAAAGACTCCTGCAAGTCGCACGAAAGTGCGAAAAATGGCAAAAGCCCGTACCATACGCACTGCAACACGCAAAAGTAAGGGAAAGCAAGTGGCGATCAGTGGACCGAAGGGCTCCGAGAGACCAATGAACACCGGTCATGCAACGAGTAGAATACCTGTGGCATTGCGACTCGGTGACATGTCGCAGCATAATCCGTCCCACGCCACGTCGCATGGGCACTCCCACAAAAGTGTAAGGTAGGGAGATTCCCAATATTGTCGAAATGATGACCTTGACCGTCATCATGCAGGAAATCGCTGTCGTCCGTAGGTAGGACGAGCCGAGCCGAGCTGAGCCGAGCCGAGTTTTTGGCTTAACGAGCTCAGCTCGTGAGAGAAGAAGATTAATCGAGCTGAGCTCGAGCCGAGCCAAGCCAGAGAAGAAGATTAATCGAGCTGAGCTCGAGCCGAGCCAAGCCAAGCCCTGAAATTTGTGGCTCGACTCGGCTCGGCTGGGGAAAGAGTCTTGGATATATCGAGCCGACTCTCAAAAATTCAATTTTTTTAGAAAAAAATCAAATTTTTTTTTGCCAGGCTCGGCTCGCGAGCCTAACGAGCCGAGTCGGGCATGGCTCGAACTTGGCTCATTCTGGCTCACGAACCCAGCCGAGCCGTTAATGAGCTAGACTTGAGCCGAGTTGAGCCGGCTCGCGAGCGGCTCGGCCCGTTAAGCACCCCTATCTGTGGGTCAATTCTGACCACCGCGGAGATCGAGAAAACTCTCCGACCCATTCAATGCCTTCACAACACCCCAGCCAGCATATGTCAAGGTTCGCCGGAGCTTCCAGTTGAGTTGAGGAAGAACCCGATTTACGGTCTTTCCTCAACCACGACCGTGAGAGTCGAACCCACGTTGCAGAAAGTGATCTCCAAGCAACTCCGTTACCTCAGATTGAGGAACTACAACGAGTTTTGGATCAGTTTAAGGCTCAACAGAAAGAGTGTGGGAAGGTCGCAGAGGCGTCTCCCTTTTCTCTAGCAGTTTTAGCTGCTCCTCTCCCATCGAGATTCAAAATGCCCGACATGCGGGCATTCGATGGGAATTCAGATCCGTAGGATCAACTTTTCTAGTTCAACGACCTCATGGAACTCCACCAAGTCTCTGACTTGGCCAAATATCATTGCTTAGTAGTAACCCTAACTACCCATGCCAAGCACTGGTTCAGATCGCTTCTCTCGGGATCAATCAGCTCGTTGCAACAAATGAGCTCATCATTCCTGAGACATTTCCAGGCGAACAGGAAGTTCTTGATGCCGTTGAGCTATCTGAGCAACCTATGGAAGGTGAGGAATGAATCCCTCCAATCTTACATAGACAGATTCCACAAAGTGGCTCATACTCTCGAAGAGTTCGTTCGGACTCTCATTATTGCGGGGGTTCACCCACAAACTGACTTGTGGAAGGAATTGCAATCTAAGGATGATGTTTCCCTCACTCGCTTCTATAACCTCACTGAAAAATATCTCTGAATCAAAAATTTCATGGCCGCTCTTAATCGCCACAACCCCGGTCCCTCGACCAGTGCTCCCGATCGGGGGGAGAATAGTAAAAGGGTTGATCGCAGATGGGCTAATGACGATCAACGGAAAGGAAAGAAGTAGCGATTTGAGCCCAAAAAATCTTATGCCCCAGTTCCTTGTCGCGATCGCGACAAAAGTCAATACACTCATTTGAATGCCTCAATGTCGCCTATTCTGGATAAGTCAAAGGAGGCCAGCCTACTTGGAGAGCCAGAGCCCATGAAAAATCCCCCCTCAGCCAGAAACAGCAAGAAGTACTATCGTTATCATCGGGATAATGGGCATCGCACCGATGAGTGTTGGGCTCTCAAGCAAGCAATCGAAGACCTCATCAAGCAGGGGCACTTCAAAGAGTATGTTAATGGTCCGTCCCGTTCAGGAAAAGGATCAAGAGGAACATGAGAAGAAGTGTCGTGGTCGCAAGGGTCTCTACTTTATAGGGATCGTCTTTGGAGGACCACACCTCGTAGGGAACTCTCGAGGTGCTCAAGAGTGGTATGCTCGGGAAGCTCGTCATAACCCCTTGAGTGTGATGAGCATGGCGTCGCGACTTGCTAAGGTTCGCAAGGAAGAGGAGATCACTTTCTCGGAGAAAGACGCGGTGTGATTACATCATCCCCATGAGGATGCACTTGTCATCGCGCCTGAAATAGGTCGGTGCGAAGTCCACAGAATGTTGGTGGACAATTGAAGCGCCGTGAATATCCTGTTTCAACGAGCTTTCGAAAAAATGCAATTGGACGAGGCAAACCTAAAACCTGCCTTCATCCCTCTCTATGGTTTTATTAGGGATCATCTGATTCCTAAGGGAACGATCTCACTCCCGGTCACGTTGGGTGAGACCAACGAAATGACCAAAATGACGGAGTTTTTGGTGGTAGACTGTCCGTCCGCCTTCAATGGCATTCTGGGATGACCTCTACTACAAAATTTCAAGGCAGTCACCTCCATCTACCATCTGAAAATGAAGTTTCCCAACCTGACAAGGATTGGGGAAGTAAAAGGATCTCAACGCGAATCTCGCGACTGTTACATATGAGCAGTGCAGATGGCATGCAAGGGAAAGGGAAAGGGAAAGGGAAAGGGAAAGGCAAGGCCAATAGGCATCACCGAGCAGGCTATGGCGATCAGCAGAATCGAGCCATAGCCCGGCCTAGTAAAGGACAACATGGATCCTCGCATTCAGGAGTGCCCTTATAG